GAGCTGTGCAGATTGGCAGCTCCTGGTGACAAAGGGTGTTTCCTTCCCCTTCCCAAATGTGCCAGCAGGCAGTGGGGTGGGATGAGACCTGGAAGCAGTGGACACATGGGATCACCAGATTTTTGGAGCATTTCAAACCTTCACCTTCCCGAGGAATTAAACTCGTGGCTCTGAGGGGGAACGGATCCAGGCAGAGAACGTGGCTCAGATTAAATCTCCTTGCATTGAGTTCACACATAAATAATTATTTATGGGAACTCGCTGCTTCCATCTGCCCCACTGACCGACCTCGGTCACAGCCTGGGAAATTCTCCTCAGTGAGCTGATTTGCACAAGATGAGCCAGAAAAAAAAGGTGCCAAGGAAAAGAATATTTTTTAATTATATTTTTTATATATATTTTTTAACGCATCAGGCAGCATTTGCAGCCTTTGCCCAGAGGATATTCAGTGCTGGTATCGCTATTTTCGTGGTGGCTTCTTTGCAGTGATTAATTGAAAGTGCCAGCATCAGGAATCATGGGAACATATGAAGAACCCAGTTTCTTTTTTAAAATAGAAGTTAAGTTTTCTTCCCGGCAGTACAGAAAAAAAAAACCCACAAAAACCTGGAAAAAGGTCATTATTAAAGAGATGCAAAACTCCCCTCTGCTTCTCATCCTATCTCATCCTTTTTCATTCCATTTCTTAAACTGGAGGAGAAGAAACCCTCTCGCTTGAAGTGCACCAGATGGTTGCATATCACCAAAATGGAAAAGCCGGTATCATCCAACCTTTGGGAGCAGATGCCCTGATTTTCCACACAGGCATGGCAGCCACCACCTTTCCTGTGGTTTTTTTTTACGAGAGCTTTCCTGGCAAAGCTGGGCTGGTGGTTCCCAAACTGGTGAGTTAAAATGTGAGGATCTCTCCACCCGTCGCTTCCCTGCACATAAATTGAATTTTCGCCCCTTCCCACCCAGCAGTCTGGCACTGAGCTGCTCTTGCTCAGGCAGGAGAAAGCCAAGTTCTTTCCAAATCAGTCCCAGACAGGGACTAAGGTAGGATTGAAGCCACTCAGGTGTCCAAGCAGTTTAGGTTTGGTGCAGCAGGTCCAGTGTGGTCATGCCCACCGCATTTTTCTTTATTCACTCGCTCAGGCTCACGGAATTACAGAATTGTTTAGGTTGGGAAAGAGCAGAGCCTGACTCTCACCTGGCTGCACCCGCCTGTCAGAGAGAATAAGGTCCCACCTGAGCCTCCTTTTCTCCAGGATGAGCCCCCTCAGCTGCTCCTGGAGCTCCTGACCCTTTCCCAACTCAATTCCCTTCTCTGGACACGCTCCATGCCCTCAATGTCCCCCCTGAAGTGAGGTTGGAGGTGCCTCAGCAGTGCCCGGCACAAGGGGACAATGTGTGAGCCATCAGCCTGGAGCTGGGATTTCTGGAGAGCTTCTGCCACATCCTAAAACCCAACTTTCATAAGCTCTGCTTCATTCCCAGGGATCCATCCCTGCCTCAGTGAGTCACCTCCTCCTGTCCCCATGCCCATCCCAAAGCTTTTCCATCCCCTTCTCTGCTTCACCTTGCCCTTGTTACGCCCTGTGCATCCCTCCCCTCTGGCTCATCCCGTTGTTTTAGCCACCCTGAAGGCAAAACCCTTCACAAGCAGAGGGTTTGTAGTTATTTACCAGGGAAAGGATAACAAAAAACCATAATTCCACCTTTTCCCTCCACATTTACCAAATTGATTTTTGAGCTGCTCGCAGTCAGATCGCAGTGAATATACACTTGGAATCCCTTGCACGTAATGGTTGATAAATTGTGGATCATAATTCAGCTTGGGTTTGGTTTGCTGGCTGCTGCCAGGCTGTTTTCCTTTCTCCAGCCCTTCATCCCCCACAACTCTCCGGTGGGGGAATAAATTGGGAATAATAGAAGCTCTGCTGACTAAATTTCACTTGTCAGTCGGAAAATTTTGTGCTGGGCGTGAAGTTCTTGCAAGGTAAAAAGAAATAAAATATCGACCTGGGTGGGAGCAGCTTTACTTAATCCCCCAGGAGTTTGAGCTTTGGGAAGAAGGAGCATCCACCAGCAGGGCAGCACCTCTGGGATGGGGATGGAGATGGGATGGAAATGGGGATGGGGATGGGGATGGGGATGGGGATGGGGATGAGGATGAGGTTGAGGATGGGGATGGGGATGGGGATGGAAATGGGGATGGAGATGAGGATGAGGATGGGGATGGGGATGGAGATGGGATGGAGATGGAAATGGGGATGAGGATGGGGATGTGAAGGGAGATGGGGATGAGGATGAGGATGGGGATGGGGATGGGGATGGGGATGAG